ACTTTTGAAAATTCCAATTGGAACTATGTGAAAAATTGCCATGAAGTTAGGTCAAAATCTTTCCTAAACTAGGGCAAAATTTCATTAAGTGTTTAGTTTCATGACCATGATTTCATGGATTAATAACTTGAAATCCAAGCATTTCTAGGAGGAGTTATGCAAACAATGTTTTAGATATCATTGAGATCTACAACTTTCATATTGAAATTTTCCTTTGAATCATCTTGCATCATGGTGAAAAATTGGCTCAAAGTTGTGAAAAAATATGAAGTTTTCAACACTTCGAAAAATTTCTAAGTTTGGAAACTTTGACTTTTCAAAATGAAATCTTGACTTTTTGATTTCTTGATGAACAATTTTCATATTTTGACATATTTTGATGAATTGTGATCTTTGACACTTGATTTTGACCAAAAAGTCAAAGTTTGACTTTTCAGTGTACAGTTGACTTTTGATAAGTTGACTGAAAATTAACTATCAATCAATTGATCTTGAGGGATGTTTTGAGTCATCCCATTAGGTCAAAATGATGCAATTGAATCCTTGAGATCATGTTTCCAACCAACCAATCATTTTCTAGGTCAAAAATCAGAAATTGTCTTTTCTCAATCAAAACCCTAATTTTGACCATTTTGCCCTTTTAATGATCTGATCAAATTTCTTGAGGAATTGTGGTCCAAAATTGATCAAATTACATATAGGAGTTCATAATGTTGATATGGATAAAAAATTATGAAATTTGACTGTAAATTGACCACAGTTGACTTTTTCCCCAATACAGTTGATTTTTAGGTCAACTGATCAATTGACTGAGCAAAAATGTGATCCAAGACTTGAAACTTGACATGAGCAATATTGAGGGTCTATAATGATCCATGAAAGTCATATGAGGCATTAAAAGTTCAATTATCCTTGTGCAATCTCAAACCCTAATTTCCAGTCATTAGTGCTTAAGGAGGTGTCTTGAGCAGATCAACCCTTGTGCAGTCTTGAACCAAAGGAGATCTTGTGAGAAAATACTTGATAAATGAGAGGGAAAATTTTGGGGTACAACAACTACTAATGGGAAAATATAACAACGGTTCACTAATCATGCGATACGGTCATACAGTGACTCCCTAACGACCATAACATAGAGAAACATGCAACTTTGATAACATGTCCAGAAACATCAATGCACACAGTCATACAATCGACCAATTACCACATGATACACATCATAAATTCCATTATAAGGTCAGAACCCCACCCTTACCTGGATTGAAGTTCGCTCAACCAAAGCTCTGACTGTAGTCCTTGTTTTGCTCTGCTCGACACCATGCAACTTGCTCCTTCCCCCGTGCAGTTCTTACGGTCAGCATACAAACCCTTCCAACTAAATCAAATCCTTGTGTCAGCTTAACCTTATATCACTAACCTATTGGACTTAACTTTCACACCCCCATTTTACTACATCCACCTAATAAAATAGGCCCAACACAATTATTCCATTAAATCCAACATTATTATTATTATTATTATTATTATTATTATTATTATTATTATTATTATTATTATTAATAAACTAATTAATTAATAATAATCTAACAACTTATACCAACAATTCTCAATATCTCACAAATTTTCAACAAATAATCCAAAAATAATTTAATTAAATAATTAATTAAATAAACGGGCATTACAGAATGAAAATTGTTGTTATAAGTAAATTTAGTCAATGATAAATAAATACCCCAACTACTTCCTTGTTCTTCAAGCTCTTAAAAGATATTCGGGATGGGTCATCTCCAATGCAGGACCTGGCCCAATTCGGCAGAGAGAATGGCTTCGAGAGTCGTCCCGTCTGTGTCTTCACGGGGGAGATCGGGAGCGGTCCTCGTTTCGGGATGGAGGAGTTCGAGAATAAGGTCTTCGAATATTTCTTGGGGACCGACGAGTCTATTCCAGCATCATCAGGCACTCACCCTGCGTGAAGATCATGAAGTTCGTCTGGTTGATCGCCGCGAAAAAGGCTTTGGTCATGGCGTCAGCATTTTCGGAAACGAGGATCTCCTGATACATGGATGGCTCATAATTATGCCAAGGATGGTGGGCATTGTTGCATGGTTGCAAGCGGGTAGAGAAAGATGTGGTCATACTGTCCTAGGGGTCTTGCTCGGGGGAGACAACATTGTTGTTGTTGCCCGCGACAATGAAGTGAATGTTCTGGTCATTGTTGATAGCTTGGTCGGCCATGACAACCTGAAGGTTGAAGATGTTGCTTTGGCCTTACGTGAATGAAAGACGGGAAAGCCTTGTTCTCACAGACGACGCCACTAATCGTACCTGATCCGAAGAGATCGTCAAGGCTTACGAGCTTCAAGTTGAGTAGCGATTGAATGTGAAGTTGGGGGTACCTGCAAGACACTCTGATGCCAAAGTGAGGTTCAGAGTGAGAGAAAATAAAGTAGGTGAGGTAGAATGAATAAATACCCGACCCACTCAAGTGAGAGGGTATTTATAGCCTCCATCGTTGGGCCAAGGTCCCCATATTGGGCTGACAGAGAAAACCCAAAATGAAGACTGTCAAGATCTACCTGAGTAGTGAAGACCAGCATGTGGTCTCCCTTCTGAGTGGACTTCTCCGAATTACTAGGAGGACATGGTTGCGGTATTTTTAGGGTTAAGATGACTCTGGGATATTCAGAGACGTGGGTGTTTGCCCTAAGAGGAGGGTGCCCGTAAAGACCTCATGGGATCCGTTAACACTCCTCAACAGTCCCATAGAGAGGAAGGCCCACTAGGCATGTCCTTGGTGCAAGGGTAGAGTCTCTGCCCGACATAGTCAAGGGCAGCCTCATTCTTGTTGGCCTTCATCTACAACATGGTTGGATTGAGCCTTGTATGCTGTTTGGGTCAAGCGCAGACCCAGTCCAGACTAGGTATTAATTTTTATTAATGTTTAATTTGATTGAATGTGATTTCTCATTAAGAATTAAGTTTTTGAAAATTAATTGGGTTGATCATTTATTTTTATTAATGTTTAATTTGATTGAATGTGATATCTTGTTAAGAATTAAGTTTTGGATGTACCCGTAAAAAAAATAAAGTTTTGAATGTAAAAATTATGTTATAAACTTGTTTAGGAGGCCATACTAGTCGATTCGATTTGATAAATTCTCTCCAAATAGACTATGCCCTAAATAGACACGATGAGATTAGATTTAAGAAAGATTGATTTCAAAAAACCCTAACTACGAAAATTATAATTTTGCAAAAACTTACCTATAATGAGTTGTGTTGTGGTCGCTTTCACTTTCAAGAATGGAAAATGCCTTCGCTTTGCTCGCAGCTTCTTCGCAGAACAGAACTACCAACAATGGTTGCGTTAGGGTTAGCTTCAAGTGTCGGAGATGTGTTCTGATACTTTAAGCCATTCGCTTTTCTATTTTAGTATTAAGACACTTTAATCCACCTGGATAGAAATATAAACACATGCAATACCACATATATGCCACATAAGCGTTATCATTGACTTTGACTAACGGTCCAGACAGAAAAGATAAATGTGATCTTTTTTTAACAATTAAAAGACTACTTTAAAATTTTTTAAAGATAAGAGATCAAAATGGACTCGAGATAAAATTAAGAGACTAAAAAGAATATTTTATTTATTATTTAATTTAAAATCTGTTTAGATAGCTAAAGGATATACTCATATTTTGGATTGGATTATAGTTATGTTTTATAGTCGGCAGGCAAAATGAGATTTATTATGCTTTTTTATTTCCATTGCATCCATGTGACAATGGCCTCTAAGTCAATCTAAAATTGAAAAAGATTTTTTGCACGAAAATTTTGAAAAGCAAGTGTATAAGAAGAAACCACTTGAGTTTCTTGTGGAAGAAGAATCGTATACCATGGTTTGTCACCAACATGTGTCTTCTTATGGTCTTAAATTGTCAACTTTGATGATTAATTGAAAGATATTTTTATGAAACTATATATGAGATCCTAGAATTAATTATAAATAGAGTTAATTAAGTGTATTTGATGTATATATGTTCCAGCTTGACGAATAGTATTGATATTTTAAATTAAATAATATATTTTTGTATATCCAATTAAAATTAATATTAATGATTTTATTGATTTACTTTTTGCGTCTATGCAGTATGCAGTACCAAATTTAGTGATATAGTTAAGACATATAGTTTTATGCATTTGTCTCTAGTATTCTCTCTTCTTTTTTTTCTCTCACTCAACGTACAATTCATACAAGTTTTCTTATATTATTTGCAAGAAAATTATTTTAATTAGTGTAACAAATGTCTTTTAAAGAAGAAACAAGTAGCCCTTATAGCTCAGTGGTAGAGCGCCAGTCTTGTAAACTGGAGGTCCGCAGTTCGATCCTGCGTGAGGGCAATTATTTCGTATTAATGGTTTTATAATCTTGCACTGATTCTGTGAGAATCTTTTTCGCAAACATCTCATATTGTTGAATCTTTTTTGATTTATTGATCTCCTTCATAGACGTTGAACAGAGAATCATAGGTGTTATTGGTAGTAGATTAATTAGGAACTTTATGAAATTCTTGAAAGAGATAGTGTTCACCATCATGTTTCTTTCTTTATGATGAAGATTATATTTATTCATATTCCCAATTGATAGTGTTTTCCTGTTTGTAGAAAGACCTTCTATATTAACAAGTATACTATGACCATCTTCACGCATGTCGTAAAGTTTTTCATCTTGACACAATCAGTATTGCAACATTTAAACCGACTAAAATTGCAAAAATCTTTACGCGATAGTTATTTAAAAGCTTGACTACATCATATCAACTATTAGATTTTGCAGTTCTACTAAATTTTACCAATATTCTTAAACACACAACTCTTTGAAGATTAAATATAAAATATTAATTGACACATTTTTCGCTGTTTAATATCAAACACATCAATCATACATGAGAACTGAAAAAACCTGAGTTTGCATCAAGAATGATTCACATGTTTAGTTAGAAGTTGTGCTCCAAGAACGACCTCTGGCATGGAGAAGCAGGTCCAATCTCTTCCTCTAAACTTCTCAACACATCACTGATCCCTCCAACATTGCCTACATTCTTCACTTCTATAACTTTTCCATCACCGTCTACCTCTGACATTGATCTTCTTTGAGAAGATGCAACACTAGGGAATGTTATCCATGAAGGTGCTCTAAGCTCAAATCTTTGATCCTCATTTTCAGACCTATTCGATGACATTTGAGACGATTTCTTATGCAATCTGTTACTTCCTAAAACAACCTCAGAAGGCAAAATCGGTTGCTCGATGCATGGACTGCCCATTAACACTGCAAGAGCTCTTTCCAAAGCTGTTGTTACTTTGTCCATTGAAGGTCTATCTTTCCCTCTCATTCTCACACATTTACAAGCAACATTAGCTATCTTTTTCAATGCTTCGAGATCATGAGGAGGTTTAAGAATCGGATCCAGAATCGCAGCTATATCGCCTGATCTAATCAATGGTACTGCCCATTCAACTATGTTATTCCCTTCTTCATATTGCATCATGTCAATGGCTTTTCTACCACTTAGAATTTCCAAGAGTAGGACGCCGAAACTATAGACGTCGGATTTCGTTGTGAGGTAATGAAGCCTATAGTATTCGGGATCAAGGTAACCGAGAGTTCCAGCCGGTAGCTCGGAGAGTGGAGAGTTACTGTCTACAGGACCTAACAATGATAAACCAAAATCAGCTACTCTAGCATTGTGTTCTTCATCAATGAGTATGTTTGAGGATTTAATGTCTCTATGAATCACAGGTGGACAAGCGTAGCCGTGCAAATATTCGATTCCGCGAGCTGCTTGAACTGCTATCGTTACCCTTCTTATCCAGATTAGTTGCTGTTTCAAAACATGGTTTGTTCCATGTAGGTGTTGATACAAAGATCCATTCGCCATAAACTCGTAGACAAGAAGTCTTTCTCCGCCTTCTTCACAATATCCTAGAAGGTTGAGCAAATGCGCATGGTTTAATCTCGAGAGTAAATCGAGTTCAGTGTGAAACTCTTTGAAATTCTTGTGCGTGTTGTTGGGAGGAAAAGATAGAGATACTATAGTCCTTTTAACAGCTACAACGGTTCCATCTTGTAGAACACCTTTGAATACACAAGCAAAACTTCCTTTTCCTACTATGGACTCCTCTTTGAATCCACATGTTGCAGTTTCCAGTTCTTTATAGGTGAATCTCTGAGCCTTCCTAAGCTTGAACTCCTCCATTTCCGGACGGATCTTATTGATGTTCTCATCTTGGAGGGAAGAACTCGCATCAAGTTTCTTCGACTTTTTAAACCTTGCTGAACACTCACAATCTCTTAGTCTATGGTGAACATATAAAACCGCTATCAAAATTACAATGCAGGATATGAAAAGAACCAAACCAATCTCTGCGATAACCACGGGCCACTGCAAAGCCCAAAATTTCTCATTTTTCTTCTCTGTTCTGGTATTGGAATAAGAAGACGAGCAGTGTAAGAAGCATTCGGGTGAAGAACAAGACGAACAGTTATATTCGCACATTCTATCAGATTCCAAAGTGCATCCACTTTTCTGATACATTTCAACAGGACAATCACCACTGCATGGCTTGCAAAGACCAGAATTTGGAGACTCACAAAGACCCTTTTGCTGATCAAAGTCATAGAAACCAGAAGGGCATGGAGAAGGCTTGCATAGTCCTGGTAAAACCGGTAAAGGAAGAGACATAGGAAAAGCGACGCCCCAACAAACAGGCCTAAGTGGCTTTTTCTCAGCAAGTACTCCACAAGTAAAATAATCACCAGCTGCAATCTCATAAACCTTAACCTCAGTAGGAACTGAAGTGCTTGGTTTGATGATAAATCCCCAACAAATAACTCTATGATCATAGCTTTTTATTCCACAAGCATGAAACCTTCCACCCACTACAGAAATCATAGGATCATTCGGAGCCAAATCAACATTTCCTTCACCACTTACATGTGTCACTGAAATCTGCTCCTCAATGTTCAAGCTTCTCCCCCAACAAAAAGTTCTGGAATCCACCTCTTCCAAGATTCCACAAACATGAAACCCACCAGCAGAAATCATTCTAAACTTCATTTTCAGAGGAATCAAACTAATCACCTTACTACTAGTCTCATCACCCCAACAAAAAACACTCCCATTGTTCGAAAACAACCCACAATTAAACACAGAACCTGCTGAAATCGACTGAATCATTCCATCAAACACGTAATTTGCAGTCATGTTATATCCCCAACAATCCACCAAAGAAACATTTCTATTCCTAACCTTTCTCAATCCACATACATGGTAATCACCAGCACTAATTTCCAAGTACTGAGCTTCTCTAATCATAGGTTGAGGCACACCCATCTGAATATACCCACTATTACCCCAACAATAAGGCTGATTCGAATCCATTAAAAGCCCACAAACAAATCCATCACCACCCGTTAAGCCATGAAACGAAAAACGCGTAGGCGTTTCATACATTATAGCCGAGTTAGATCCATAACATGTCACACTATTCAATCCATCTGATTTCAAACCACAAAAAACCGAACCTTTTTCACCATACGAGATTGCAATAGATGACATAGAACCAAGACTATAAACATGATGACGACATAAGCATAACATTAAAATTAAAACGTAGATTACAAAACATCTTCCTAACAACATCATAATTTTTATGATCAACAATAGAACTCAGTACCTCGGAGTTTACAACACTCGCACACACTAAGCACCAACCATTGAAAGGTGGTTGGAGACATGACACACAGACAAGAACATGGGACTGGAAGATAGATGGTGCATTAAATGAAAATCAAACATAAACTGTTTCTTCTATATTATGTTAATGCAAAGTTGTTGGAGACAATTCAATGACAAAGTTAATGCAATACAACATTTTCATGAGAAATTGTTACTACTACATAATTGCTTGCTACAATGCAAAAGATATTTTACAATTTTGTCTGAAAAATATCTTTATTTTAGAGGGGACTCGTGTTCAAAAATCACATAGAAAAAGCTAATCTATAAACTTTGATGAAACGTATCTGGTTTGATATTTGAGGAAATTAACGTTAATATTGCACCAATAAGTTTGGTATAAGCTTTAATCTATTATCTATTATAAATAAATGCTTAAACTTTTTTTGATTTTAAGGTTATAAGTCATTTATTCTATCATTGTTTCAATGTGGTTGATTTGCAAATTAATGAGGTTAATTGTCACTCTCTCATATTTATTTTAATTATCTAAATCAATATTTAACTCTTTTCTACCTGTGTTTATTGACACAGCATTATTCTCTTGAGTTGAAAAGCCTACCTTTATAAAATTTAATTCACTATAACTGAAAAATGTCTTTTTAAATTATTTTATTAATAAAATCCGGTTCAACTTAAAAAACCTTTTTAACGGTCGGTTTTGAAAGATTTTCCCGATTTTCCGGTTATTTGATTGGTTTTGATAGTTGTTTGGACTAGACACAGGTTCGGTTTCTAGATCAATCGGTTGAATCGGTCAGTTTGATCTGATTTCTGGATCAATTGATTGAATTGGCCGGTCTAGTTCAATTTTTATTACCTTAGATAAGAGTATTGTTTAATTTTTTGAAAACAAGTTACAAAAGTGTAATTTTGTAATTTGCGTATAGTCTATAGAGGATAATCTATGTAATGATCATGGGTGAACCACTTTTGACCAGTTAAATATTTATAAAAAAAATTGATCTTGAAACAATTTAAATTACTAAATTGTTCTTCTTACAACAAATTGTATACTAAATTGAAAAGTCAAATCTCTAGAAATCAGCCTAACAAAAAAACGCAAATGTAGCAGTAAATGAGCACACATGATATAACAAAACAAGGATTTGAATTTGAGACATAAAGATCAGTGATGGAAAAACCAAGACATCAATCCTCAAACATGTCATTGACGATAATGTTTCTCACTTCTCTATTAAAATGTTGTGATGATACCTACACAATTTGCTAAACTATAGAGAAAAATGAATCTCATTTCATTGCAAGAATGGAATGAAGAACCTATTAATCTAATCATCGTCGATAATTTCAACAGTCTTTTGACCAAATCCTTTAGGTCCCACCCTAATCACTTTTCTTCTCTTTTTCTTTTTTCTACTCTTACCTTCTTCTTTCTCAAACTTCTCCTTCTCTCTTTTTGTCAAAAAAATCTTTTACTGCTAAATAGATTAATTGCTACACAAACACTCAAAATAAACACAACTTATAGTGATATATTCACATACTAATTCACTATAATTAAAAAAAAGAGTAGAAAACAGAGAAAGAAAATGCTCTTGCGGACGATGATACTTATGATATACAAACATATGGTTTTTATGTATTTGCAACATAATAAGACCGATGTCATCAGTGCATTCACTACGGTTGCATTTGACGATGACTCTTAGCAATAATAAGGATTGTAATGCAATAATATTAATTTGAAACTTTGATTATTTCATTGACATTGATTGCAATTGTTAGGAGAGAGTTCAGCAGAGTAAGTACACATTCATTCCTTTCTTAGTTTGAAGGTTCTTATGATTTATATTCTATTCTAAACTGTTAATGATTGATTATTTGAGAATACTGAGTAAGAACTACTAATGATAGACATATTAGTTAACATATGTACAATATCTATAATTAGGGTTTTTTTGGCTAATGATAATAATTTACATGTTAAAAATTGATCTAAGTGTAGTTAAAGAGAGAAAAATCTCCATAAACAAAAAGTTGATCTAAAGTTACAGTTAAGAGGCAAAGAAGTGAGACTCCATCACCATTACCAACTCTTAAGGTACTTTAATCTATAGATTAGATAAAGTTGATGTGTATGTAACGATATATGTATGTATATGTATGGTGGACATGCAGGTTAGGAAAGAGAAACTATGGAAACCGTATAACAGCTCTTCAGCAATTGGGGACCGTATAGCCAGAAATGTTATTTCAGTAAGAAGCTTAGCTTGATGTTTTCCTTGAATTTCTTATTTGAAGGTTCTCAATTTGGAAAGATGCTTTCCTTTACAAGTTTATAGCAGCTATGATATTTAATTTGCAAGTTTTGTATTTTTTAATTTTATTCACAGGTGATTTGTATTATTTATAGTAGTAACTTTATTCTATTCTTTAAAAGAGAATAATAAGATTTTAATATTGAGAATTTAGGAGATAAAATGATGAGTTATTATTATTTTAATAGTATAATATAATTTATTATGATTTTAATATTCACACGCATATCTTACATTTGGTTTTAAAACTTATGCTTAGCTAATATGTTTAATATCTAATATTTATGTAGTAAAAACTACTTTGATCAAAGTAATTAATCATGTTCATTTTATTAATAAATTAAATTATATTTGATAAAATAATTTTATATTTAAATAATGGAAATAATCTAAGTAGGATTATTAAGTCCTTACGAGTTTAGATTCACGTGTAGACATAAATATATATATGAGATATTATTTGTAGACGATTTATTTTAATTCTTATCTTTTAAATCTTTCTTTTGTTATTGTTTTATATTAATTCATTAGAGAATTCATTTTTGATTAAAATTGTAGATTTTTTTAAACAAAAATCTAATTAACATTGAAGACTTAATACTCTCTTGGTCTATTATATTAATATAAGAGTTCTTTTATTTCTCAATTTAACAATTGTAGATTGTTCATCGTAATCAAGGTCTTTGGAGGCATAGATTCACAAATATAAATGGATGTATTTATGTGATATCAGTTGAAGACTGTTTATTTTAATATTCATTTTTTGAATCTTTCTTTTGATGTTGTTTTATATAATTGAAATTATATAATCGATTGTACGGTTTATTATAAATACTGATCAATATTTAAAAGTTGGTACATATTATTAACTTATATATAATTATTTAAATGTTAACCAATTAAAGAATAAATTTATACTTTTTAAATAATAATTTGATAAACATGTAATATAAATCTAGTGGGGACTCGTGAGATATCACAAGTTTCTTAGTAGTTAAAGAATAATGATAATTGATTAATTAGAGACCATTAGTGTAAACAATGTATCTGACGTTACATATACAGTATTTAACTACTACTTCAACTCATTTCATTCAAATTAGATAATGAAGGAATAAACCGTTACTCTTTTATTATCTTTATTTGAATTCTTGATGATTTATTATTATTAAAGACACAAATAGAAATTTGTTATTGAAAAAATATTTTAAATTTTAAATTGTTTGAAACAAAATTTTCAAGTCGTATATTTTAAATAGGACAGGTTTTGACTCAGTTTCTTTTTAAAATGATTTTTCTAATTCTACATATTTTGTTTTAAAAAACTTACAAAAGAATTTTTTTAACAAAATATTAGTTTAATTTTTTTTATAATTTTTTTTTTAATATTTTACCATTTTGCTAAAAAAATTTAACATCAAAATTAAAATTAAAAAAAAAACACCTAATTTTAATATTATTTTAGATATCCTTTCTTTAAAATCATAAACTTATGAGATAGGGGTGTTTGCGGTTCGGTTTGGATCGATTTTAAAGCAAAAACTCATCTGATTCAAAGATTAATTCACTTAAGGTTCGGTTTAGTTTTGGATGATATATTTAAAAAAATCCAATCCGATCCGATCTAATTTTATGCGGTTTAATTTGGATCGGTTTTTGGATATTCAAATTACACATCATATTTTTATTAATATTATAAAACTACTAATAAATCATAGATTTGATATAATATATAACATATAGTATATTAAAAGTTAATATTACAAAATGAGAGTGATTGATTATGTTTGAAATAATAAAAATAAATAGATTATACCAAACTAATAAATATTATTAAAAAAATTATTATCATCTAATAATAAATTCACATAACATGTCATACTAATAAAAAGTAAATAAGTATCAAAATATATTTATGCGGTTCGGTTTGATTTGGATCGGTTTTGAAAAATTCATCCGAAATTCAATCTGAACCGATCGGTTTTCATAAAATAACATTCAAACACAACCAATAACTTTCGGTTTTTTATGGTTTTCGGTTTTTTATTTGGATTGGTTTGGATTTGAACACCCCTATTATGAGATATATAATTTTAATTGTGTTTTAATATTTATTAAATATTTTTTGTTGGAAAGTCAACACGAGAGGACATTTAATATTGGATCAAAAATAACACTCACAATCTCTTGATTAGGTGTCTTTACTCGAAACTAAAGGCTCATGATACCACCGTTGAGGAGTCTGGGATAGTCGGGACCCTTCACTCGAAACCTTTGAAACCTTCATTTACTAATCACCACCTATGGGGAGTACTTTCAATACAAGTAAGTCCGTTCATTCACTCGAAACTAAAGGCTCATGATATCAGTATTGAGGAGGAAGACGTCACATCTCAACCCAAAATCTTAAGGTGTTAGGTAAATGAGTCCTCTCTTATAAATCCAACATTACACTCATTCATAGACAATATGGGGGTTTAACCACTCACACTTGTACTCAATATTCTCCCCACAAGTGTGAGTCTCCCACTAGATTCAGCTCCCGCTCTTCCACCAAACCGAACCACAACTCTGATACCACTATTAGAAGCAATTCAAAAGTGAGTCTCTCACTGGATCCAGCTC